GACAAAATAACAGTCAGTCAGGACGGAACAGAAAACTGGACTCTGATTCTTTGTCATGCTGAGTGTCAAAGACATCTTGCATTACATTAATCTTGTTTAAGATTGTATCCTAAACTTGGGTGGCAGCTCCAGAAGTGGGAGCCGTCCACCTCAAAAACATCCACCAACAGTTTCTGTAATCTGAAGTTTCATGACATTTGATCTATATCTAAAAGATCCAGAAGAAAACTGGAAGGCGGAAATGAGAAATTGATTTCTATTATGTCACAGAATGCACAGGTAGGCAGATGGATCAGGAGCTACTGGAAGGTCTCCATGCAATTTGCAGTACATCAGCAATGATTTCAGACTCCTGGTCATTTGAATAGTCTCACCAAAATAACTCCCCTTCCCCACTCCTTAATTATAATCCTGGAATGAAGAAAACATGGGGATAAACAGGAGTGGGTGGACTCTGAATTCTCTTCAGTTCACCTCTTCAGTTACCAACTCGGGACAATGTCTTGGGCACAGAATTCTTTAATTCTCCATGGATAATTCTCAGTTGGTAAATTTTTGAGTTAGAGTGAAAAACAAAGTAAATTCCACAAGCTTTTCACCTCTGAAATAAGACACCTGGTCATGAAGATCTTCTTAATGCCACCAAGTGGACGTACAGGCAAGAGATATGAGAACTCAGAAGACATAGCTAACAAACCTAGCTATGACACTGGACATACCTAGGGCTAATAGTAAAAATTGTTTCTATTATATAGTTCTATTTTTAAAGACATTTAACATAATATTTGAAATAAAATATCATGCATAACACATCAAATTCTACCCTTTGCTCTTTTAGATGTTGTAAACATGCTATATCCACATAAAGTTGGATTTTGGATAGGTTTTTGTGATCTAATAGAGTACAAATCCACTTTTCTTTTAGTTCCTAGTTTGTTTCTGAACATATTATTCCAAAAAGAAAAAGAAAAAACCCTCATGGGCTCCTGACTAATAGAACCAGTATGGTGTATTATGGGTGTGAAGGCTGGACAGTGAAGAAAACTGACAGGAAGAAAATTTATGTGTTCAGAACACGGTGCTTTGCGAATACCCTGGACTGACAGAAAGATGAACAAGTGGGTACCAAATCAAATCAAGCCATAACTTGCCCTGGAAGCAAAAATGATGAAACTGGAGCTGTTGTACTTCAGGCACATTATGCGAAGGCAAGATCCCTGAAGAAGGCAATCATGCTATGAGAAGGAAGATCAAATATGAGACGGCAAAATTCCATAAAGGAAGTTTACAAGAGCTGAGCAGGGCTGCCAAGAAGAGGATGTTTGGCATTCATTCACAGGGTCTCCGAAAATTGATGATAACTAGACTGCATGTAACAACCCAACGGTGTAGTAGTTATTGTTTTGGAGTAGTACCAGGAAAACCTGGCTTCAAATTGCTACTCATCTATAAAGCTCACCTTGGATTAGTCACCACCACTTAGGCTAACATACCTTACAGAGTTAACCCAGCTATACCTTATGCACGGCTCAGTGAGACGCAGTCCTTTTGGAACTGTGCCATTCAAAGAGGGGAATTGAATAATTCCACATTTCAGAACTCCTGGCCTCCTTGATATTTCTTCTAGCTTCTAGATTCATACAATCAGGAGATGTGCATGTAAGGACACATTCACATGGTCGACGACTCCCCTACTTTACAAACTCCCACTCTATCTAGCGCTGCAGTCTCTTTCTAGCAAAGGACAGCAAAAGCTTCAGAAGTTGCTGTAGGACATGAAGACAATCGTTGTACTGTTTGTTTATAACATCTGGAACCACTAAGTACCTGCTGGCTGAGGACTGCTGGGAGCTGTATGACCTTATGCTGTCTAAGTACACATAGCATTGCACCACTAAGCAAATACACCCTTATCTTTTGAACAAAACTAGCTCCAGGGGTCCAGTTTCCAGGCCACCCTCTCATCAATCACCAGTGGTGAAAGAGTACAGTGCTCCCACTGAGATCCTCTTTGTATTCCACACCCAGAAGAAGGTGGCAGTCAGTTTTGGCACTTCTGCATGCCCATCTTTCTCCACACTGCTGCTGCCACAAACCCTCCAACAATCCAGTACCAAATTCACCAGCGTGCCGCCACTGGGAAACTGGTGCCACCTACGTATGTCAGCAGAACCCAGTTTTGCAGCTTTATTGGAGCTCTCCATGGTGCTGAACCAATTTGCGGGGTGGAGTTCAGTACTTGATGGAGTTGAAAAGGAAAGCTGCCCTGTGAATATAGGGGTTACTGGCCTCCCGGGTTGTTGCTCTTTCCGTTTGCACCGGGGGGGGGGGTGCAGGTAAGGATGCTGTCTGGGTGGAAAGGCAGCAGCAAGAAAGTCGTCTGGCAACTTTGCTTCTGGACAGGCAGTGGGAAGACAGTGATTGCCACTCATAATATCACTTCTTCTCAGCATCACCTGTGCATCACCTGTCCGTCAGGCCTAGCATCCACAGCCACTAGCAGTAGTTCCATGTGTTATGAGCCCTGAAAGATGCCTGTCCTTCCCCGCCACTGAGCCTGGACCTGTTTCCAATTCTTACACTCATTACACGTGGCCTTCTATTATGTTATATATATTTCCACCTTATTCCCTGAATACATCGACTAATAGGTTGGGGGCTCTGATTGGGGGGTCTTCCATGGGTCAGACTCAGTCAGAGCCATTCTTAGGCCAGTCCTTTTCTAGTCATGATTAACTTAAGTCCGATTAGTTTCAGTGGATCTTTGCTTGGTGCGAACCAAGCAACTGCATCCTAATTCCAAGTATTTCGATCCAACATATATCTTGATTCCAAGCAAGAACATTGCTCCTTCCCAGCTCTTGCAAAGCTTGTCCGTTCTGTTCTATCACACCCTCGTTCCCTCAGCAGCGAAACCGGCCACAGTGAGGCAGAATGAGGCAGTCTGAGCAGCACGACATGAGCAGTCCCTTGTTCTACCCATTAATGCAGTCATGTTGACTCAAAAGTAAATCCAACTCGGCTCAATCAGTCTTATGGCCAAGTAAATATATATAAGTTTACTATTGACAGATGTGTCTTCTTCTTCACTCTGGTAAGCATATGTTGCATTGCAATCCAAAGTTGCCATTCTATGCACATTTACTTGGATATGAGCCCTATCAAACTCTAGGTCCACCTTCCAAGGAGGCATGGAAGCGACCTCTGGCCCGTGGCCAGGTGGATTCCCTCCACAGGTTCTGCCCACTCCCCTCCTCCAGCTGCTCCACCTGGCCTGGGGCTGTTGCAGTTATCCTGCTTGGTGGTAGACTTTCTGCACTTTGCTCCCCCCCCCCCATCCCAAGGCAGGGGAGCAGCACAAGGGGGAAACCCTTTGTAATCTCCTTCCATTTGCTATCTCCAGTCCAGCAGAATTCCTATATATTTCAGTTCATAAGAATTGCAGGATTTCCGTTCTGTTACATATTAGAGTTCACAGCTATTCAGTGTTTTTAAAAGCAAAAAAAGCAACAGTACACAACTTGTCAGGTAAGGCACAAACAACTTGTTGCCCTTCCATCTACTGCATTTTACATTATTTCAGCAAACGGCATGCATGGTAAAGGAGGGGCAAGAGGCAGAGAATATGGGGGTTCTATTTTCCTCAGCCCCGCTCTGAGCAACCAAACGCACACAGAGGCATGAACCAGTGTCCTGAACGGAGACACGTATGACAAACGCAAGGCCTGGCAGATCAAGGGCAGAAGCACGGCCCCAAGCGCCTGGGGCTTCGCCTTAGTGGTCTGCCGTTGGTCTGCCATTAAATACCAAAATGGTCTAACACAGCGGGTGGAGGAAAGCATGCCAGGCAGGTCTCTGGTCCCTGGGCACAGGCTGAACAGGGACGGACTACAGATGGGTGAGTTGCTGCAGTCAAATCAGGGGCTGTGCAGGGTTGGGGGGGACCTGCGGCAGATGAGAGGGTGGCCCTGTGCTCTGTCCCAGCTGCCCCCCATTGACTCCTCCCACCATATCTGCATAAGCACAAGAGAGCTACAAAGCTCCAGAGGGGGAGCAGATCCAGGACTGTGCCTCAGCGGCACCAGCGCAGAAGGGTTTCCGTATGTGGACATTCTGAGGGGCCATTTCTAGGGTTGTCTGTTTCACAACCTGAGAATGCAATATTCTAAAAGTGCCCCCTTCGAAATGTTGATGGCAGGGCTCTATTTGTTATCCATCCCAGAAGGGAAGGGATTAGGGAATGCTCAAAATCCGCCCGAGGCATTTCCCAATGTATCTTTGGGTCCAAAGCAGTCTTACAGGCAAGGCTTAAGAATATCGTCAAAACTTTCCCAAGACCAAAAAAGTATTACTGCTGGCCACAAAACATTTCACTATAAATATAGTGAGAGTGATGGGCAAACCGACTAATATTTAAAATAAAAAGGTCCTAAGTTTTCCTTGTCAGGAAGCAAAGTTTGAGAAGCCCAACAGCAATGCAACAAGAAATGGGGCAAATAATTCAGAGCTCTTCAGGTCCCACGTTTAACATTTCTACCTGTGTGGGAGACTGTGCATGGGTGTTTTTGCACACCTCGTGTCCCAAATCCATCAGCTAAACCCCAGGCATTAAACGCTTTTAAAAGGAGGAAGACAAAATGATCAAATCAAGCAAGACGAGGGGTAAGGAATAACCCCGCAATGTCTTTTTTTTTGGGGGGGGGTGTTTTAATTATCAAAATTATTCGACGTTCCACATGCGGCTCAGCGCTGTCTTAAATTCAGCAAACTGGCTTCTGGTCTGCTCCCTGCAGCCTCCGCGCACGCTTACTCCGGAGGAAGTCCCGCTAAGCCAAACGGGCTTCGCTCCCGAGGAAAGGCGCACCGAGGTGCAGCTGAGCCTTCGGGGCACGGGGCGCCTCCGGGCCGTGGGAGCTGCCGACGGGCTGCCAGGGCGCGCGGCTGGAGGGGCAGGCGAGCGCGGGGGGCGCGGGGCGGGGGGGGGGGGGGGACTTGCGGACCGTCCAGCGCCAGCATCGACGGGAAGTCCTTGCAGTTGGAGACGCCGGTCGAGTCGGTCACGCACGTCTTCCAGAGGTTGGCCCAGAAGGTCGCCGTGGTGATGACCGTGCCGTCGATGGAAGACACTTTCCAGTAGTCGGTGGGCAGCGTGGAGGACACCAGCACCCAGCCCGGGAGCGCCAGCAGGAAGGCGGTGATCTCGGCGGACGAGCTGGCCATGGCGGGGCGCGGCGCGGCGGAGGCGAGAGCGCACGGCGCCTCCTGGCAGCCCAGCCGCGGCGGCAGCCTCACCTCACCTCACCTGGGCCGCCGACGGAGCGCAGCGAGCCGCGCCAGCCGTCCCGGGGCCGCGCAGCATCCTCGGCGGGAGGGCGGAGCCGAGGGCGCGGCCCAGCGGCGCGGCCGGCGAGGCGCGGCCCTCGCGTCCAGGTGGCGCTGCCACGGGCCGTGACCCGGGAAAGCCCTCTGGCCCCGGAGCGGCAGCGCGGGCCGCAGCGCAGTAGGGGCCGCCACGTGTTATCTCGTATTCCAGACGGAGCGGTGAGTGAGGGGCGCACGGCATCCGCTCCAACGTACCTGGACTGTGGCAGCGCTTGCCAGCCGAGCATGGTGCCCGGCGGGCACGATACGTGGTCCGGAATGCACTAATGAGCGTTCATTAGCTGCTTCACCACGCGTGGCAGTCCAGGGTCTGAAATGACCCAGCTGCCCCCCGGTTGTGGCTTGGGGGGCATTTGTGAGAAAGCTGAGGGCCAGGCCAGTGGGGGGGGGGGTCCCCTTCCGCTTGCCTTCTCTTTAATGGCGTTCACCTGGTGCCACCATGTATTTTCTACTACACTTCCCCTCAGTCCCTAAGGCTGATAGTAAGGGATTATGGGAATTGGGGACCAGAGCATCTGAGGTTGCACTGAGCCCTGGTGTGCACTTTATGACTGTGAAAGGTCAGCTTTCTGGTGAGTATATTAGGAAAGAACAGTAGCAGGAGTGGCCGGGGTCATCTGGACCTGACGGTGTCCCCTGTGAGTTGGCAGCCGGAGAACGCAATGGGCAGATGCTTTTCTAGATACGCCAGTGGGATGGAAACATACATACCATGCCCAGTGATGATGTTTTCTCACTCCCTTTTGGCATTCTGACAGCAGCAGCAGCAGCAGCAGCAGCAGCAGCAGCAGCAGCAGCAGCAGCAAAAATGCTATCATGTGTCCTGAGGAGGGACTGAATACCTTGCATGCAGAAGATTCATAGCTTTTTAAAAACCATAATGAGGTAACATGCCTGAGCCACCAGAGAATGGTTGCCAGTCCAAGAATAAGTACTCTTACTTGGCTTACAGGGCAGATGCCTAAAATCATCCCTGCCTCATTTGAGTTTTCTGGGCATAATTCAGATGTCAGCTGTTTGAGGACTGCAGTCTAAGCCAATTTCTTAGCAGCAATGCATCAAAAAGGAAAGGGCCAGATAGCTTCTGAATCTGGACACCTGTTGCCCACAACTCCAGAGATTGTGCTACTAAACAGGGGAAGCCTCTGAAGATCATTTAAGAGAGCTTCATCTATCATGAAGCTGTTTGATAGATCTCTGTACCATCCCAAATCATATTGGGTTGCTCACTCACGTGAATTGGACTGAGACACCAAAGGGCCCTGCAGAAAATGGAGGCGGTTCTTTGGTTTAGGGTATTTTTGCGGCGCCTGGAAGACAATTTATCACAGCAACCTTTTTTCTCCAGGAATAAAATCACAAGCAACCATTTCTAGTTTCATAAATTACACCCAGGTGACAGCATTATTTGTTCTTTCGCCAGTGCAAGCAGACTAGGGTCGTCACGCCTGTTGTTCTAGATTGGTTTTTCTGTTTCGCTTACCCTCCTTCAATCTCTTCTCTGCTCCTTGGAGCGACAGTTTCAGGGAGCATTTTGCCAAGGTACAGGCAAATCATTACTAGTTCAGGGCTGGAACCTCAACCTCAATGCACATAATCTTGCCTGCAGACCAAAATTTTAAAAAGGACTTTTGGAGACTATCTGGGCAAGCCAAAACATTAAAGACAGAAAGAGCACTGTTCGTGTGTGTGTGTGTGTGTGTGTGTGTGTGTGAGAGAGAGAGAGAGAGAGAGAGAGAAGGGGAGGGGGCGATGCATGTGTGATATAAGAAGAAAATATACCAAATACAGAATGGTACTAGGGATGTCCACTCCCTCTGACTGGACTTGGGCCCTGATTTAGCCCTTCAGAAAATGGCCCTGTTCAGCCCACACCGATTTGAAGTCTGTCTGCTTCAGCTGAATCCAGGTTCTGAATCCAGAGTTTAATACTCCACACAAACTATCATACAAACAGGCTATAATTTATCCCATCTTGGTTAGAATGCAATGATACTTCAAAGGATAGTAACTGTTTGGCTGGGGGTTATGCCTGACAAATGTCAGAAAAATATGCTACACAACTTAATATTTTAATTTTTTTAAAAGTGGCAGTGACTTTTTAAAAAAGCTATTGACAGAATTGGACAAAAAGTGCAGGGATGGTTGTATATTCTCAAAGACAAAAGACAAGATGCTCCTTAAAAGAGACATGGCAAAACAAGTATTAGATGGAAGACAGATCCAGGCATGAGATGTGACACTAATGTGAGGAGGAGGAGGAAAAAGCAAGATAAAGCGCACATGAAAGACATACTTCAGAGGGTATTAGCAGAACTAAGAGATGAGAATATATAGACAGCTACAAGGCTATAAGCCTTTTAAAGTGGTTTATGAGAGAAAAGGAGCAACCCTGTACCTATTTAGAAAGGAAAAAGCACCACAGCTGGGAATCGAGGGGCTTTTCCCGCTCTCCTTGTGGATGTGATTGCACCGCAAAAGGGTTTTCTTCCATTTCAGGAAAGAGACTAACAGTCATTTGGAATAGAATTGAATTGCTTCCACTATTTATTTCCAGAATCAATACCATGTAATCATTTCATCCTATAAATAATGGGTCCAGTAAACATTTCTTAAAATTTGCACAAATACGTACAAAGAAAGTTCAATGAATATATTTCAAGTGTTTGAGAAGGTGAAATAACAGGATTGCAAAAACCGGGAGCAGAAGGAAGCTTGCGCAATTTGTCCTTACCCAGCTTTGGCAGTTTTCTGTGCCCCGTCATATCCGATTCTGGCGGGTCCCCCAACCCTCTACAGCAGCTTTTCTAGGAGCAGAAGGAGACAAGGTGGAGGGTTCCTACGAGCTCATTTCTATTCGTTGTTCTCAAATATTTGGAGGGCGTGGGATAGAAATGTTTGCAGAATTTACTTGACTTTCAATGATGGTAGCTATAATGTTTAAAATAGAAATAAGCAGAGTTTGCTGATTTCACGGGGGTAAAATGTCCTAATTCTGGGAAGTGGTCAATATTTGTACGCTTTTGGCTCCCATGATGTGGGCCAGAATCATCACTTATGAAAATGTAGATTCGTAACTCTTGGGTCACTCAATGGGCAACAAGCAAGCCTTGTCGCATACCTTTTATAATTGTTTGCTATCCAGGCTATAAGGCTTTTGCCTTTATTTTCCTAATGCATAAGCCCTGATTTATTTATTTAAACATTTTGTGGCCACCTTCCAGGCAAAGGTCTTCTCAGGCTGGCATACAGTCATCAGGCTGGCCTGATGTTATGAGCAGTGTGACTCCATTTCTTATTTATCATGCCAGTGCACTCTAATTCAGAGATCAAACATACTCCTCTGCCAAGAATGCCCATGGCTTGGTTTTAAGATGAAATAGGACAATGACAAGGCTAAAGAAGCAGGCAGGAAATGTTTTTATATAGTACCTCACATTTCTCACCATCTTAACACAAGGTCATGCATTAAGTAATTTCATGGAATACACAAGAGAAGGCTTAATTGCAAATACACTAAAAAGTGTTTTCAGATTGTCTCATGGATATTTAAGAGGCCATTTAAATAGGCAATAATCAGGGTCAGCACAGCATTTCTGCCTTGCTGTTTACAAAGGTCCTTTGTCTTACCTCTGTATAATGTCGATCCTGATCTCAGTCATGTTACCATGAAACCATTAGTATGTTTTGTATAACTGCAAGGAGACAAGCAGAGGTCTAAACTCTGTTAGCCTGCAATTTATAATAAAAAATAGGGTCACTGCATGCTAAAAGTGGAGTGGCTGCTGGCTTGACACCCATTTTAGTTGATGGAAGGGGAGATGGGATAGAAGGTGAGTTAATTGCATTTCCCCAAATGGCAGCATCTGAAGCCATAAATTCAAGCTCAATCAACTGGACCATACAACTTGCATGTGGTCTGGCCAGTAATTTTTATTTCTCTTACAGCCAGGAGGACTGGAGAACCAGAATGGAGCTATATGGCTAATGCGGCAGGTCAGAAATTCAATAAATAAATAAACAAACTGCAGTATGTCCACAAGGAGCAAAAGAAGGGAAGGGAAGGGAAACAGTGTGTCTTGCCTTTACTAGCTCACCTTTATTAAACTTGTCATTAAACTCACAGTAGTGGGAAGTGCTTTTTGGCATGAGGGGTGAATTAGAGGAAAGGGCTTAAGCAACCTCTAATTTTCCTCCAGAATTTCTCCTATTATATAGGCAGAGCAGAAGAAAAACCATGATGGAAGAAAGGTGACTAGGACCAGGATTTTGGGAGCTGCACTTCCTGATGATGCAATAAAAATTGCTAATAAATAATATATACATTTTCACCTTGAGGTAACAGTTTTTTAAATGGACAGGATTTTGTTGTTGTTTTATTGTTTTATAACTCATCATCATCATCATTGCCTTCTTCTTTACACCAAGAAGAAACATGCAACTGCTTATATCCTGGTTTTGTACAAGTTCACATTAAATGTTAATTCTGAATGTGTTGACTGGTTTGGTTTTTTAAAGCTGCTAGATTAGGTGAGCTTTGAAATCTCACAGCTCCTAAAGAAGGAAATGTGTGTTACCATTCCAATTCCATAATATTGACAATATCACAAATATTCTCAAACAAACAAACAAAATCAATTTTCAGTTTTGACTTCAAGTCCATTGAAATACGTTTGCTGAAACATGTGTTTTCTGAAGCTATACAAATGTAGATTATGGTGGCCGGTTCTCTAAGTTAAGGGCTCCCAGACAGTCCTGTGTTGTGAAGACATCCAGTGTTGGGAGAACCATCCACTCCAAGGCCAAATCAACTGTAAGGACCATCAGAAGGAAGGGCA